CCTGCAGCGGCCCCGCCCCGCGTCCCGCCTTCCTCACGCTCCGCGCGACCAGCTCCCGGGAACTGGGGCTGGCGAGCCGGCGGGGACCCACATCCGGTCAGTCTGCAACACCCCCACTCCCCTGGGTTAATTTCCGGTCCGAGCGCCTAGTGCTGGGAACCTCGGGCTTGAGTGACGTCATATCCGTTGTGTCTGGAGCGCCTGGGTGGGAGCACGTGGGAGGGACTTTGAGACCTTCCCCTTGCACGCCAGTCCTCGTGCCCAGGTTTCCTCCCTACAGTCACTCATCCAGCCACTAGGCACAGCACCAGTCAGGGTAGCTCAAGAAATACTTGTTAATGAATGATTGAAACCTAGGGCCTATCCCTGTGCCAGGCCTGGGTTCCAGATCTCATATAATCCCAGGAGATAGATGGTATTGTCGTAATTTCTTTTTTATGTCTTTATTGATTTCAGAGAGAGGAAGGGAGAGAGAGATATAGAAACATCAAGGATGCAAGTCATTGATGGGCTGCCTCCTGCACGCCCCCCACTGGGGATCAGCCTGCAAGGGGGGGCATGTGCCCCCATCAGGCTTATTGTCCTAATTTATAGATAAGTAACTAAGGTTGACAAAAGCTATGTGTGAATGTAAGAAACAATCAAAGCTATAGCCCAGCCCGGCGTGGCTCAGCGGTTGAGCATCGACCTAGGATCCAGGAGATCAGGGTTCGATTTCCGGTGAGGGCACATACCGGGGTTGCGGACTGCAGCCGATCAATGACTTTCTCATCATTGATGTTTCTACCTCTCTCTCTTCCTCTCCCTTATTCTCTGAAATCAATAAAGATATCTTTAAAAAACAAACAAAAAACCTATAGAGAATCTTTGTGAGTTTATTTGAACCAAACTGTCGACAATTGCCAGTAAGCAAAATCTCAACTAATTGAGATAATGCTCCGGAGCATGGCAGTTTTGCGTTGTATTTTATACATTACACTCAGAAGGGAAGACGTAAGTGGGTTACACGAAATCTATTGGTGATAGATGAGGGAGGCGGGAGAAAGCAAAATGGGGAAACCCCTGGGATCGAATGAAAAGTAAAATGATAGACACACACTTCTTTTACATAGGGGAGTGCAGGACAGTTAAAAGTCAACAATGAACTCAATAGCAATGAGGGTTTTGTGGTCTCCACAGAGCAGTGCTTGTGCTGTGAGAGTCTGGAAGAAGGAAAATTACTTTGACGTTCCAAAGGTACGTTATCTAGATGCAAAGGCAACAGACAGGCTCAGTTAAGGTGAAAATTGACCTTTGTCAGAGAAGATACCTGCCTAGGATGTGACTACCCACCATAAACTGCTTTTAGTTAAAAAGTTTTCATTTCGGACCATCCCCTGTGGTTACTTTGAGTCTCTGAGTCTACAAGGCCGTCATGCAGGCCTTCCTTGAGCTCAGGTTAGCGTGTGGCCACTTTCCTTTTTCTTTCCTTTTCATCCTCATATGGGGATATTTTTTCCATTGCTTTTCAGATAGAGGGCGGGAGAGAGACACATTGATTGGTTGCCTCTCGCATGCACATGCCCCAACCTGGTAGGTGCCCTTGGCTGGAAATGAACTTGGGACCCTTCAGCCTGTGGGCTGGTGCTCTAACCACTGAGCAACTGGCTAGGGCTCTTTTTCTTTATTTGAGAGAGAGAAACACCAATTTGTTGTTCCACTTATTTATGCATCATTGGTTGCTTCTTGTATGTGCCCCGACTGGGGATCAAACCCTCAACCTTGGCATATCGGGACAATATTCTAACCAACAGAGCTACCCAGCCAGAGCCTCTTTTTCTTTTTTTAAATATGTTTTTTACTGATTTCAGAGAGAGGAAGGCAGAGGGAGAGAGAAACATCAGTGGTGAGTTATTGATCGGCTGCCTCTTGCATGCCCCAGACTGGGCATCAAGCCCACAACCCGGGCATGTGCCCTGACCAGGAACCCAACTGCTATCTCCTGGCTCGTGGGTCAACGCTCAACCACTGAGAACATCAGCCGGGCAATATGTGGCCCCTTTTTGTCCATATATGTAATTGCCATTGTGCAATTTTCTACATCCCTTCTAGATACCTGACTTTAGATATCCTCTGACCCACATTTCTCAGGTGCCCATGGGGGCTGGGGCGGGGTGGGGTGCTAGGGCAGTGGGCTATCTCCAGGGGAATAGATTGAAATATTTCTTGAGCTGAGGAACTTTATGAACACATCCCCTAACTCCTGAAAGGAACCAGAGTTTTGTCACCCAAAATATGCCTTTTTGGGGTATTATTTTAAGCTGGTTAAAGAAATGACTCAGGAAAAGCCTTTTACCTCCCCCTTCACCTGCCTAAAGGAACTCTGAAAAACCTGCTGAAAGGAAGGGAACTGTGCAAGGCCTGTCCCATTGTTTCTGGGTGGCCAGGCAAGGATTTGTTTACCAAATGCTTGCTCATCTCCCTGAATTGCCTACATTCCCTTTGAAGTCTCAGACCCCTGCCTGCCTCTCCTTAGTCCAGAATGGCACATTAACCTTAAGTGCCTGATTTGTCCTCAGGTGCCATAGTCTTAGGGAACCCCGTATTACATAAGGTGATAAATTTGGTTATTTCCTTCTAGTAATCCCATTCGATTTGATTATTAAACCAGCCAGAAGTTAGAAGGATGAAAGGAAAACTATTTTTCCTCTCCACACTTATTAGGTGCAAGTCATCCTAAGCAGTCATTTTTCCTAAAAACAACAAAAATACTAGTTTTCTTGTAAAATAATCTCTAAGACTTGTTGTCAGTCTATAAAATGGAACAGCTATTTCCTGCCATTAAAACAGTGGGAAAATTTTTAGCTGCTAAAGAGAAGCAGCTTTAGTGAGAGAACATCTGACCATATAGCTATTTCTCAAGAAGGACCCCATCAGCTCTGGTCACTACTAACTAGACTTACGAAAATCTTGCCGACATAAGAAATGCCCAAACCTGTAGACAACTTTTTTGGTTTATTTGAACCAAACTGAGGACATGTAGCAGGGAGCAAGTCCTCAAATGTTCTGGAGAATGGCAGTTTTGCAACTTATTTCATACATTAAAATCAAAGACATAAGGAAGGTGCATGAAATGGTGGCAGATTAAGGAGGCCGGAGAAAGCATAGCAAGGAAATTTCTAGGACTGGGTAAAAGGCAAAATAGACACACACTGTTTATATTGTGGGTAAAGGATAGTTAATAATGAACATTTACAGCCCATACAGTATTCAGGGAACACAGTAACAATGAGGGGTTCTATGGTCTCATGCTCTGGTGCTCTTGTGGCCTGGTGCCTGCAGGTTGTGCCTTCTAGGGGTAGGAAGAGAAAATTACTGACATTTCAAAGGTATGTTACCCTAAATGCATAAGATCAATAGACGGAGCTCTGGGAGGGTGGGTCAGCTGGTTTGAGGGTCCTCATGTACACCAAAATGTTGCAGGTTTGATTCCTGGTCAAGGCACACACTTAGGTTGCGGGTTCCATCCCCAGTCAGGGTGCAAAAGGGGGATGGTCAATTGATGTCTCTCCCCCCCTTCCTCTCTCTTGAAGTCAATGGAAACATGCCCTCTGGTGAGGATTTAAAAAAAAAACAAAAAAAAAGCTCACGTATAGATTGACCTTTGCTAAGGAAGCTATAGACCTGAGATGTGACTACCAGCTATGACTTGCCCAGTTAGGAATTTAGGAATCAGACCATCCTGTGTGGTTACTTTTGGTCACTGAGCTTGTTAGGTCTGCCATGTGGTCTCCCTGAGCTCGTCAGGTTTACTGCACCACCTCCTTCATTCACAACCTGGTCACCTTGTGGGGTTCCTCGATGAAAATATTGGCATCTAGCAAACTGAGGAAGGCTTGCACGTGCTCATTTTTCTGAATGGACAAGGCTTATGCTGAGGCTACACGAAATGTAAGGCCCTCAGGCTTCTAAGGGTCTATGGTTCAGGCCAGAACTAGAATCCAGACACCAACAGTTATTGTTTCTCTTTATTGTTTCTCCTTTTATCAAAACCTGTCACAGCTGGGGGCCAAGAGGAAGTAAAAAAAATTGTCACAAATATGTCCCCTCATCCCCAGTTAGCCCTCCCCCCATCCCCTGGGGCACACATGATCATCTTTCCCCACCCTCAGCCTTCTCCCAGCAATAAATACAGGTGGCTGTGATTCAATGAAACCAGAACTGATTTCTCCATCTTGAATGCCCCTCAAGGGGACAAAAAGGGGACAAAATAAGTTTAATGCCCACCCCCACTTAAGAAGTGGAAACTTCTTTCCTTTAAGGGACAGGGGAGGTAGACTGCCCCAGTCAGAGCTGCAGCAGCTCTAGAGGGAACGGGGGAGCGGAAAGGCTGGAACCAGAGGGAAGAGAAAGTTCTCCAGCAATCTCATTCCTTTGACCCATTCATCCCTTATCAGGTAAGGGGTGGTCCCAGTGTATCAGTGGGACATAAAGAGGGGAGGGCAGACAAAGAAGAGCCAGGAGGAAGAAATAAAAAGAGGGAAGTCAGTCTGGTAGGGAAGGAAGGGATAAGAGAAAAGGAACCCTAAAACTCACTGCCCTCAACTTCTTCCAAGAAATGGCATCAACACACAAGAGGCATGAGTGGATAGGGTCTGAAGAATTCAGGACCCCCAAAAGAAAGGGAAAGTAAGGGAGAGCGAGGGCCCTGTGGTCCCCAAGTTTTCACAGGTGAATATGCTCCAGGTAGAGCAAGTGTTGGGGGATGATGGGAGGCTTGGTGTCAGTGGATGGAAGAGGACAGATCACAAGAGGAATTCAGAGCCCAGAGACAGCCCTCTCACCCTGCCCAGATGCTGGCAGAATCTGGGTCTTGGGATAAAAACAGTGAAGTCTAGGGAGGGTCAAACTCCAAGGCAGAAGGAACAGTAACTCTCATCACAATAGCACCCCTCACAACCCCCAACATCCCTTGGGTTATCGCAGGTGAATACTCCAGTCAGATGCTACGTTGACGCCAGGCTTGCGCAGGATCAGCACAGAGGTCTCAGGGTCATGCTGGAAGGACAGGCGGCTTTCAGGAGATCCTGGTGAAGGAAGACAGGGTGCCATAGTCACAGCAATCAACTATAGCATAACAACTACTTTCCTACAGGCAGGGTGTCCCAACCCTGCCCCTGCTTCCCCCCTTTCCTCACCTTTCTTCTGGAGTACCACGGATGCTGGCTTTCCAGCCCCCATGATCACCACTCGCTCAATCCAAACTGGTGTCTCAAAGTGGCCTTTGGGGTCTGCTGAGCTGGAGGGAGCAAAAATGGGTGCCCACCAGGGAGAAAGATGTCAGAGCAGAAGGAAGCAGACCCAGAGCAAGAAAAGGGCACAGTGAACTGTGAGCATCCCTGAGGCCCAGCTTTCTCCAGAGGCTGCCAAGGCAGATGGGCACCTCATTACCTAGAGACGAGGGCGTTGCCAGAGAATGAGAATCGACGCAGCAGGAACTCATTGCGAGTCTGATAGTTGAATGTGTGCCCATCATCTAGAAAGAGCTCTCCTTGGGCTGTACCCTGAGAAGGAAGCGGGACAGGTGAGAGCCTGAGCCCAAGAGGGAGTGAGGGGGCCATCCCCAGGGGACTACATCCCAGGGAGGTAGGCAGATGGTTGAAGAGGCTCCCCGCCTATGCTCTCACCTGGGGGCTGAGTGCAACAAAAAGAGTGATGGGGTCATCCTTCATACAGTCTGAAGAACGCCGCACTCTCATCCATCGAGGTATAATTGTCCCTCCACGCTGGAACACAGGGATCTAGAGCAAGAGCAGTGCTGGGATGAAGATGTCCCATTGTCCAACTTGGCCTTGCAGCATCTTTTGCTCTTGCCCATCTGTGCCCACTTAGATACTGGACCTCAAAGCACACACTCTCTCCCCTTCTGGAAACCTACAGGCAGATGGAGCTGGGAGGGGGGTCATGAATACTCACACTACTTAGAGTTACAGGCAGGTACAGGGTCTGGGGACCATGATGTTTCTGGTAGCTCTGAATGTCATACCACACCTGTGGGTGGCAAGAGATATACTCGGTGACTCACCACACAGGGCCCCTATCCCAATTACCCCATTTGGCCTCCACCATCCATCATTTCCCACCACGCCTTCCTTAACTCACCTCCCCTTGGCCAGGCAAATAGACCTGTACACCATGAGCCCCAGCATCTGATACAGGGTGAACCAGCAATGCATCTCCTAAAACACACCAGAATCAACTCAGAATTAAGGAGATCAGTTCCCAGACAGGGAGCACCAAAGTGCCTTCCTCCATGCACCACCAGCCTCACTCCCTCCTGCCTCCCTGTGTATCCAAGACTATCTCCCACAAGTGCTTACTTCTCAGCCCACCCACCACTAACTATCCTCCCCATTTCTCACCAAGCAGGAACTGATCATCTATACTGAAGGTTGTTACATCCTGAGGATAATGTACCCATAGGGGCCTAGGAAGGAAGCAAGACAAGAAAGGAAGAGACTTGCTGTTTTGGCAGATGTCAAAGAAGCTACCCTAGGAACTGACAAGAATAAGTCCAGGGGTAAGACCCAGAAGCTTACAGCCAGACAGTGTGTATGGAGGGCCTCAACTATGCAACCTCAGCTCGGTCTAGGCATCTAACCTCCTAACCCATCTCCCTGCCTCCTCCTGCCCTGTCCCCTCTTGAAAACTGTTCTGCACAGCAGCCCTCCAGTGGCTACTCTGTTATCCTGGCCTGAAAGGCTGTCCAGGATCAGGTCATATTTTTCTCTCCCATCTCATCAACCTTTCCCTGTAGTTCCTTACCCATCAGACACACTGTTTTTTCCCCCACTCCTGGAACACAACAAACTCATTTCCCCTTTAGAACTCTTGCACTTAGCGCCTCCTCTGTTTGCAACATTCTTCCTCTAGATCACAAAAACCTGTCTTAGTCATTGCTTAGACCCCATCTCACAGGGCCTTCTTCTCAGGAAGGCCATTAGTGGAACCTAGTTCCATTTTCCTCTTCTATTCTTCAAAGAGCTTGTCACTATTGGCAATTTTCTGATTTATATATTTGTTTCCTTCCAAGGACACTCGTTCCACAAGGGTAGGACGCTTGTCTGCCTTGTTTCAGGCTTCGGGGAAAGTGATGAATAATGCCTGGTATGTCATAAGCACTTAATAACATCCACAGCTATTTATTCCTATTGGGCTCTGCTTATTCTTGACCTTGAGATCAGATTTTCCTCCTTTACAGAGCCCTGGTGAGTGAAGAGAGGCCCAGAGATGGAGCCCAGTCCCCACTGTCCCCCAGCCACCTCAGCCCGCTTAAACAGACCCAACTAAATGCCTCACCTCATGACAGGAATCCCTTCACGATGGGCCTGATAGAAGAGGGTGTACCAGAAAGGCAACAAGGAATACCGCTGGCCCAGGGCATCTCGGATCATGTCGTGGTACTGGGATGGTAACAGCCATGGCTCTCGCCGCCCAGTGTCCAAGTGGGCATGTGCCCGGAAGAATGGCTGGTAGGCACCCATCTGGTACCAGCGCACAAGCAGCTCTGGCTCTGGATTCTTAAAAAAGCCACCCACATCAGCTGGGAGAGGGGAGGGAAGAAGCAGGTTGGAAAAGAGGGTGAAGGAGGGCGGCTGCCTAGGCATTTCCCAAGGTCCCATGCTGGACTCTCAGCTCTCTGTTCATGCCCAAGTCCTGTGCCCTCTACATTGCCCCTTTCCCACCAAACCGAGGACCACAAATTCTTTCCCCTCTCACCCCCACAGAAGGAAAGTCCCACCAGCCCCAAGCTGAGACACATAGGGATAGAGATCTTCAAGTGGTCCCAATCAGCAGTGTTGTCCCCTGTCCACACGGCTCCTGAGGAAGACAAGAGGGAGGGAGCTTGCAAACAGTGAAAGGACACAGCCCTTTTTTTTTTCCCCCTCCCTTCAAGGATACTCTCTCCATTGATTTCTATGAAGAGTAGAAGGGAAGGAGGGGGAGACAGAGAGAGAGAAACATCAATGTGAGAAAGACACATTGATTGGTCACCTGCATGCACCCCAGCAGGGGCCAGGAACAAGCCTGCCACCCAGGTACGTGCCCTTAACTGGGAACTGAACCCATGACCCTTTGGTGCGCAGGCTGATGCTCTACCCCTGAGCCACAAGGGCCAGGGCAGGGGTCAGCCTTTTAAGCTGACCTCTCTGACCTGCGACATCTGCTCTGGGGCCCCCAGGGTCCTGCTGAAGATGGCAGAGTTCACAAGAGCACTTGAATGGACCTCCCACTCCCTGGGTCCCTTAAAGTGCAGAGCTGGAAGGATGCAGACTGCAGCTTTCAGGGGATGGCTGCATGGACATATTGCTGAGAACAGGCCTAGGTGCACAGCTTCTCCCATCTGGCCTTCACACTCTCTCCCTCAGCTCTATTCTCCAAATCTTACCAAAGCGCTGGGAGCCAGCAAAGAAAGCCCTGCTCAGGACAAAGGGGCGTTCGACACCCCCCGAGCGCAGCACCAGTCCATCAGCAGTTGCCATGTGCTGAGTGGAAACAGGAGAGAGAGGCAGTGAGGAACAAAAGCCAGCTGTCATCTGTTGCAAGTTCCTTGGCCCTCAGTCCCTCCTCTCTCAGCCCCTTACCACATAGAAGCCATAGATGTTATGCACATCTCGGTGCTCCCAGCCCCCATAATGCTGGGCATCCTTGAGCATGGTGACCTCAGGACCATTGAACACAGATGGTTCATTCATGTCATTCCAGACATAGAGGTTGGGAGCTGAGCCCTAAGAACACAAGGAAGGAAACGGGGAAAGAAGGACAGAAGGGAGAAAAAAGATAGTGTCAGAGCAAAGAGCACCTATGAATCCAGAAAGATGCATTTCTCAGGCATCATCAAGGCCCCAACCAACCACAGCAGGATTAACAAGCAGAAAATGACCAATTCAAGGAGGTGAGGTGGGAAAGACAGATGCAGGTCAAGAGAGAGGCCTGCCATACCTTATAATCGTCAAAGTTGAACATGTTAGCCCACCAGGCCCTCATCCTGGGATTGGTGAAGTCGGGGTAACCAGCTGCACCTAGGAGAAGTTAAGGGTGGCTGTCAACACCAAGGGGCCAAATGGTCATCATTCTACCTCCCTGGCCTTCTGATAGCCTCTCCCTCAATTCTGGGCCTGCACTACCTACCTGGCCAGCACCAGCCCTCGTAGTCAGAGCCATCCCGAGTTTTAACATATAGGCCCTGGCTCTGCAACTCTTCATGTACACGGTAGCCAGAGTCTACCTTGATGTGGGGATCCACAATGGCGACAAGCTGGGAGCAAGGAACATAGGTGGTCAGAGCTCTCCAGGACTACTATGTGAGAAGACCAACCATGGCTGTATTCCTCTTACCTTCCTCCTCTTGGAGGCCAAGTGCTCAAGCATGGTGAGGGGCTGGGGGAAACGGCTGGGGTCCCAGGTGAAGTACCGCTTGCCATCAGCATGCTCAATGTCTAGCCAGATGACATCGCAAGGCAGGTTGTGATCATCAAAGCCCTGATTGACTTCCAGCACATCGGCCTCGTCCCGGTAGTTCCAGCGGCTCTGATGGTAGCCGAGGGAGAAGAGCGGGGGCAATGCCTGGGTCCCTGCAGGTTCAGTGAGGGACAGGGGTCACAGTGGAGTCAGGCCAACCTGGCACCACTGGTTGAAACTGAGGGAGGCTTGTAAACTAAAGGGAGGCTGAAGGGCACAGGACTCTGAAAATGCAGTCACCCCTCTCAAGAAGAGAAAGGCTGGAAACGGAAACTGCCGGCCGACAGAGTGGGGATCCCAAGTACCTGTGAGACTGGCGTACTGCTGGAAGATAGCTGAGACAGAGGGCCCAAGCAGCAGGAAGACATCAATGATGCCGCTTTCTGACATCCAGCGCACATCTGTCTGCGGGGTTTCCCCAGAGCCCTGCAGGTAGTCCAGCATCTTCCCAAACAGGGTCTGCAGAAGGGACCAGAGAGAGGTCCAACAATCACCTTCTCATTCCCCAAGCCAGACAAAGCAGCAATGTTTTCCTCAAAGTCCTCGTAACACTGGCTCCCAATGAGTCAATCTGAGCTGAGATTAAATGTCACCTCCTCAGTGAGGCTTTCCTAGATGCCACCATCTAAAGCACCACTGCCCCCACCCCCACCACATGGCTGCTGCACTTCTTTCTCGGCACTGAACTCATCTTGCTCTTTGCCTGCCATCTTCCTCCCTGAGAGTAAGGCCCTTTCCTACCTCAATGAGCAGTATTATTCCCAGCACCTAGAAAAGTATCTAGCACATAATACGTACTCAACGACAAATGTACTGACAATAAATGCAGAAAGGGCAATACCTGCCCCATGAGTGTGTGTCTTCTGGAAGTGATAGGGAACTCAAAGGCTGCTCACAAGGCCCAGGACCCCCTTCTCTCTACCCAATCCCAAATGGGCTATCCCACCAGCCTCTTCAAAGCTCATTCCCCAGCACACCCATCCGACTCTAGGCCTGAAAACTCCCCCCCTTACTGCTCCGCCTGCCTGTGTGCTCACCTTCCCAGCAGTGTTGGAAGATATGTCTACCCAAGTCTCTGCGGCGTTGAGCCAGAAGATGCCCAGGTCCCGGTGAGGACTGTGTGCCAGAAGTACAGGCACAGACCCATACAGGGCCATGGGGTTGTAGAGCTCGTACTGGAACACATCCAAATTGTAGAGGCGATACGGCTCCCCACCCCTGCAGGCAGACACACAGACTGGCCCCAGGCCCTGGCACACACAACCCCCATCCCACAGACACAGGTGAGGAATATAAGAAATGGCCCCTCTGCCCTTTATCAAAGAAGAATCTTCTAGTCGCTTTAAGGAGATCTGGGCACAGGAAGTGATCCATGCCTGACTAGCGTATCCAATCTGCATGCATATCTCCCACATTTCCGACTCCTCTGTTCCCCATATCCTGAGGTCACCATGGGACTCACTCAGTGACCTTCAGCCTCAGGCTGTCTGCATGCTCAGGGATCCCATACACATGCTCCATGCCTGGCAGAGAGAAGTCCAAGCCCACAGACATGGGGCCTGGAAGAAAAGCAAAGGATGAGCTCCAGAGCTTCTGCCTGATAGGACTCCCTGAGCCCCTGCCCAAGGCTCTCCCAGTCCCTCACCATACGGCTTGCTGTCAGAGTGAGTTTTGAATGTCTCCTCCCAGGCTCCAGGCTCATCTTTCTCTGTCTTCCCCTGGGTCTCTTCTAGCTATGAGGAGGAAAGCAGACCATGACCCAATCACACACCAGTTCTCTCTCTTCCTTCGCCCATTTTCTAAATCCCATTCCTGGTAGCAAGACTAAGCTCAAGTTTCTTGTGGGCCTTTCCCCTCCAACCTCCCAGCCAGCCCTGTGCTCCAACCACTCATCCCCACAGACTTGCCTTGTCACCATCCCCAGGTGTTTCCTCGGGCTGGGCCCCATCGCCCTCAGCTGGGTCTTTTGATCCTTGCCTGGAAGGTAGGAGAGCTGTCTGCTCCAATCCAGAGGGGGCAGGGACGAGGGGCTAGTGGAAGGAGGGGTGAGGGAATAGAGAGCCAAGGGTCCAAAGGAACGAAGGCATTGGAGGAAGGGGACTGAATGTTAAGGCTTGAGAGGAACCCCCAGCGAACATGTAAGTGTGCAAAGGACATGGAGAGGAATGAGGAAGGAAAATGAGGAGTAAGTGCCACCAGGAGGTGCTTTCCCACGTAGCTCCAAATCATTAGTCTCTTCGAGCATTCCAGAAGAGACAGGCAGGCTCAAGGGCCTGGGTTCGGAGTGCCAGACCTGGCTCTGCTGCCTCCACTGACAGAATCTGGCCCCAAATGCCCTCGCTGAGCCTCAGCCTTGTTGGCCTGACACAGGGTCTTGCAAAGGCAAGTGGGTCATACCATGACCAAGCCGCTAGAGATATGTGCAGGGACTCAAACAAGAGGTGTGCCAAACAATGCTTTCAAGGGGAGCTGGCAAGCAGCTCTGCCCAGAGCCTTAGTGCACCCCCGCTGAGAGCCAGGAACCCAGCAACAGGCAGCATCTCTCCAGCCCTTGGCAAAGCAAAAAGCTCCCTACATTCCTTAAGGACTTCCAATATTTCATCTTCCTTCTCCCAAGGGGCTCTCAGTCAGGAGAACAGGGACCAGGGACCAGATACCACATAGCTGAAGAAAAAGAGGTGAGTGAAGGACAGGGCATGGGAGGGTCTGGGGCACCTTCCCCTGGGGGTCAGAGTGAAGGGCGGGTGAGGGCAGAGGAACACATACAGTACCAATGGCCATGGATTTACCTAGAGAAAATGTTCTTGATCTTATCCCAAATGCTACCGAGCGTGACACTAACTTTATCCGAGAAACTAGGGCAGGAGGAGATGGGTAGGGAAGGGAGAAAGGAGGCACAAAACCAACACAAAAACAGAAACATAAAAGTGAGTTTCAGTCGACAAACTTCCAGACATGGGGGGTGGGGGGTGGGGAGAGGAAGAAAATAAATCTGGGAAATGTGATGGCATGAGAAGGGGAAAAGGGAAAAGTAGACCCAGGCAGGCCTCTCAGAGGAGGTGCTCAAGGTACAGCTCAGGGACAAAAGTGACTGTCTCCTGATCTTCAGAGGAAATGAAGAAAACTGTGACCTGGCCTACTTCCTACCCTCCCTGACAGACGTTTCTCCCAGCCCTCAGCCCCTACCTGACTGTCCTGCCACCCTGTCTTCTCCCAGGGACCCAGTGCCAGACCCCACAACACCCCTAGTCTCTTTCACACTAGGTCACCTTCGGTCCCGACCCTTGTACTCACGAGACCCTGGGGGCCCTCTGGTGCTCAAAACCTAAGAGTCCTCGGGCATTGACACTGAGCAGAAGGCTGCGGTCCTCTAGCAGGTCAAGGCGGAATGGCCGTGCTGTCAGGATGATTTTATAAGGTCCCTCAGCCACAGTTAGCTCCACACTGTTGTCGTCACGGCCAGAGACAGAAAGCCTGGAAAAGAGATCAAAAAGGATATAAGCAAGTACAAAGGACCAAGAATGTAGTTGCAACACTTCAGAAGGGGATGGGGGAGATGACCTGCTAAGTGCTACTGGCAGTGTGGTAACAGCAACAGTGTAGGGACAGACAAACTGACCAAAGGAACCAAATAGAGAGCCTGGAAACACACCCAAGAATACTTAGAATTCTGAAATGTAACAGAGGTGGCATGGCAGCTCAGTGAGGTCAAGAGGACTGAGGAGGACTATTCAATAATGGAGATGAAAGCCAAATTTCTGGCTAGGAAAAAAACAGCCTCAAATTCCTACCTCATGCCAGATACAAATATCAACTCCAGAGATTAGAATTTAAAACTGAAAAGAAAATCTTTAGAAGAAGCCTGGCCAGCATGGCTCAGCGGTTGAGCATCAACCTATGATCCAGGAAATGGAGGTTCAATTCCCGGGCTGCGGGCTCGATCCCCCGTGGGGGGGTGCAGGAGGCAGCCGATCAATGACTCGCATCATTGATGTTTCTCTCTCTCTCCCTTCCTCTCTCTGAAGTCAATAAAGACATATATAGTTTTTAAATCTTTAAAAGAAAATAAAAACAATTATTTTTCTGACCTTGAGGTGGAGAAGAATTATTTAAACAAAGCTTAGAAAACACTAACACCAGAAGGTAAAAGACTGATACACTTGAGCCCAGCCGACCAGCCCAGCTGGCTGGAGGGTCGTCCGTGCACCGGAAGGTTGCCGAGGTTGCTGGGTTCGATTCCTGGTCAGGGCATGTACAGAGGCAACCGACTGATGTTTCTCTCTCTCTTTCCTCTCCCTTCCTCTCTCTAAGCATGTCCTTGGGTAAGGATTAAAAAACAAAACCCCAAAACTGATACATCTGATAACATTAAAATTCAGGACTTCTATTTATCAAAAAGCACCTTTTAGATCAACAAAAACAAGAAAAGTCAGAGAAACTGTCCCAGACTAGAGAAGCCAAGGAGACATGACAACTAAATATAACATGACGTCCTAGATGGGATAGAAAAAGGCATTAGGTAGCCCTGGCCAGCGTAGGTAGTGGTTAGAGCGTCAGTCCGTGCACTGAAGGGTTTAGGGTTTGGTTCCTGGTCAGGGGCACGTATACAGGGGTTGCAGGTTTGATTCCTTGCCCAGGAGGCAACCAATTGATGTACCTCTCTCACATCAATGCCTCTCTTTCTCTCTCCCCTACCTCCCTTCCACTTTCTAAAAATCAACAGAAAAAAATATCCTCAGGTAAGCATTAACAAAAAAAAGAAAAAAAAGAAAAAGGCATTAGGTAAAAACTATGGAAACCTGAATAAAATATGGACTTTAATTAGTTAATAATGATATCAACTCAGATACGACAACTCTACCACAGTAATGTTAATGGGGGAAAACAGGAATGGAGGATATATAGGAACTCTCAAAATATTCTTGTAACTTTCCTATAAACCTAAAACTATTCTAAGATAAAAAAATCTTTTTTCAAGGCACCTTTAGGAAAGTTGAAAGATAAGCTACAACCTGGGGAAAATAGCTGCAATAATATAAATGGTACAGAATTAGTGTCAAGACTTAGGAATTTCTACAAATCTATAAGGACAAACATAAAAGGAAATAAGCATAGCTGGCAACTACCACTTCAGACTAGCGAGCCTGAGTCACAGATAAACAGGGAAAGATGCTGAATCTTGTTAATAAACAAGGAGAAACCACCAAGCCAAGACCACATGGCATCATTCTACACCCATTCTACTGACAAAAATTAAGTCCAACAGTACCAACTTGGGTCCATGTGGGTCATGCTGCTGGTGGAAATGTACACTGGTAAGCCACTCTGGTGTTATCTAAGAAAGCTGACCATTTCCACATTCTACAACTCTACAGCTCCTCTCCTAGCTATACACTAAAGATAAACTCCTGCACGGGACAGGGGACACAGGAGACATGGCCAACAATGTTCATGCCAGAACTCTGAATAGCAAAACACTGGAACAATGAAAATGTCCATCAGCATAGACATGGGTAAACAAGCTGGGATATATTCATACAACATCATACAGCAGTAAAAAATGAACTATGTGCAACAGAGTTAAATAAAGTCATGTGAAAAAAGGAAATCCCAGAAGACATTCATTGAGATGAAAGTCCCTATATAGCTCAAAAATTAATGAAACCACGTAATTTATTGCTTAGGCACAAATACACAAGTATGTATATGTGTTTATATATATACAAGATACAACTGTAAGAACAAAAAGCCAAAGGAATGATAAAATTTCAGAATAATGGTCATCACTGGGGGAGTCGGGGGTACAAAACAGTGAGAAACATATGGATGGGTTGGGAGGAGGGTTTATGTTATTTTCTAAATTAAACACTAATTGCCATGCATGGAACAATGACGACAGTGAGCCATGACCTAAGAATCTGAGTAATCTTATCTTGAACATCTGAGAAAAAAGAAATGAGGAAGGGGAAAGGGAAGAGAAGTGAATGGAGGAAGGAACCAACAACAGACATACTGTATTCCTGGAGGGCAAGATCTGTGCCTTGTTTATTTCCTCTTGTGTCCCTAGCACCTAGCCCAGGACCAGGCACAGAAGAGGAAGCAGTATCTGCTGAATGAAGATTAAGAGATGAAGGAGAAAATAAGTGAAACAGAAAGAGATAGGGAAAGGTTGAGGAGAGGGGCAAGGTATGTCAGCTATCATCCCAATGTAAGAAAGTAAAAATTATCAGGAAAGAGAAAAGGGCCATGAAGATGGACAGGTTTTTCTGAAAAAGTTTACCGAGCTGTGGGGGGATCAGCCACCAACACATCTGGCACACGATATCGGGGTCGCCGGGGCTCCAGTTCATCAATTCTGATCCGAGTCATGTTCTTTTGAAGCCCTTGGAGCTCCAACACCAGCAGCACCTTGTGGGCAGAGGTTTGGATAAAGTAGAGGACTATACCATGGAATGACCTCTGAACCCACTCCCTCCTTAGGAGTCTCCTCCTTCTAGCATCTTGCCTAAGGGATCAGAGATCTGAATTCCTCATAAAACAGAAGTCCCAAGATTAGGCTAGGACAGGATGTTGGCTATAGGTTCCCCCTTCCCGAATTACCCCTAAACCATTTCTCCACCCCCACCAGATTTCCTTTCCTCCTGACCTTGGTGACCTCGTTGATCAGATGGACTGTGAGGCCATCAGGACCAAACTGCAGAGAATCCAACAAGGCTCGGTATGGAGAGAGGCCTGGCTGTATGTTTCGCTGACGCCTGGAAAGTGAAACAGTTAAGAACATGGGAGGGCACCCCAATGTCTATAGGTCCCCCCATCAATTGCAGTGTCCCCAGGCTACCCCACCTGCCACCCACATTACCCTACATTCCATCCCACTCTCCTAGAAATATCATACTTGCAAAAGGAACTCTCTGCACAGGTCTTAAAGTTGCTTCTATCCACGGCACGGGTGATTCCCAGGCAGACCCCTAAACAAGCCAGTACCAAACCTGTCCAAGACCTATGGAGAAAAAGGACAACGGCGGGAACAATCAGCACGGGGTCAGAAAGGGCCTCACTTCCAGAGGCAAAGGCCACCGTCCTAGAAAACAGCTCAGAAAAAAGGAAAGGTGGATTCCCATTAAACAGAAAAGGCGGCAGGTGGGCATGAGGTTACATTTACACCTTCCCTTTAAAAACCGCATAGGAAGCGGACTTGACAGACCTTTGGCCTTCGGAGGCCTTGGTGTTCATTCCGGTTACATCAGCCTCTCAGAGGAAAGGAGCAGTAACAGCCAGCCCCAGGGGAAGTGGTGGTACCATGTATGTGGAAGAGGGAAATAAAGCCAGTCATGCCTTTCCATGAGAAGGCATTGGGTGGAGCTCCGATGAAGAAGTTAAAGATGTACCTCAGCTAGCCTGCTAATCATAGTTGCTAGGGTCCTAACATCCCCAGCACCCCAGGCATCCTGCTCCTCTAATCTCCACTCCTGTATCTTCAAAATAAGTCACCACTGTCACTACCTAAGCCTGAAAAGAATAACAATGGCTAACTTGTACTGAGTCCTGGGACCTGGCTAACTGCTTTCTTTCCCTGGTTTGCAACTCTGCCTGCAGTTTTTAAAAGCATCAAGACAAGTAAGAATTTCTGCCCTGGCCAGATGGCTCAGTTGGTTAGAGCATTATCCCAATAAACCAAGGTTGCAGGCTTAATCCCCCTATCAGGGCATATACAAGAATCAACCAACTAATGCATAAATGAGTGGAACAAATCTGTTTCTTTCTCTCCCCTTCTCTCTCTAAAATCAATTATAAATAAGTAAATAAATAAATAAATAAATAAATAAATAAATAAATAAATAAAAACTGTCAATGCCTGGTCTCAGCCCCTCCCCCCCCCCAGTGATTCTGATCTAATTGGTTTGAAGAGGGGCTTAGGCATCAGAATTTTTTAAAAGCTCCCTAGACAACTCTAATGGGCAACGAGAGTTCAGAATCACTTCTTTATCTGCACTACTTCCTTTCCCTTTCTTGGTTTTCTTGGTGACTGTAGGGTTGTGATTCTTCCCAGATGGGAAAATTGAGGCATAAAAAGTTGAATAATTCATCCAAAATTAAACAGCTAGTTAAGGGGTGAAAATGGGATTGAACTCAGCTCTGCCTGACTCCAGGGCCCACATACTTCGTGGTGCACAATACAGCACACTAACAGACAGCAGGGCCTGCCCCATTGAGGACCATCACCCCAAGGTTACCATAAACTATCACTTTCCCAATATATATCTAATGACAGATGAGGGGTTTAACAAGCTTATTTAAATGAGTTAATTTGAAGGATATATTCATCCATTCTGAGTATATCCTAAGCAGGGGTTCTCAAACTTTTGTGTCTTAAGAATCACCTGCAGTGCTTATGAAATGAAGATTCTCAAAGCCCGGGAATCTGAGTTTTAAACACGCTCTCCCAGTGACCGATGTGGATAGTCCAAGAGCTTCCAAATACGAGAGAAAAACAAAAACACAGGCTTCTTCTAAGCATTAAAACTTTGTAACCTGCTAATGGGGAAACTATGGAGTAGGGTCTACTATACACATTGTATCCAGCACTAGCCTCAGTACCTGCTTGAAAGCTGGGGAAAGAAAATCACCAGAAAGGGGGTCACAGAACACAGTAAGCCCTCCAGTTCCAGAAGAATGCACAAAGCAAGCCAGGCCAGACAGAAAGCTGAGGAAAACACCAGGCACTGCAGTTTAATACGCCCAGAAGGAACAGCAGTAGCAAACATGCAGAAGAAACGCTACCAGAAAACTCAACAGCAAGGCATGTGGCCTGGATCCTGAGGTGTGACTGCAACAGGCGCCCTGTCCCACCAAACCCATGTCCACCTGCCCAAAGCAGCAGTAACAGTAAGTACAGTGAGTTAAATACCCTGTGGAGTCCTATTTGCAGTCTATAAAATGGGTTTGGAGAGGTGCCAACGGGGATAGGATTTCTAAAAGATCTTAGAAATGTAACCTGTTGGGATGCCTTGAATACCCCTGAGCCAGAGGTGATCCAAAAGCCAAAATCAGAAATGAGCCACCGGGCCAATCGCACCCGTTTATTGTTTCAGATCAGAGGCTTCCAGAGAGAGACAGTTGTGTTTACGACCCACTCTTTTTTCATTGCTGCAGACAGTACACGCCTCTCCCACCCCAGTACATCCGTTAGGTCCTGGTAAAGGCTTTGTGGAGCTGGTGATTCTTTCAAACCGTTTTTCGGTAATATAAACACGAGAGCGCAGACCAAACCGTTCGATTACATGTTGTGTTTGAGCAACATCGTCCAGGCAGACTGTGAACTTACTGGATCCTGCCCCAGCGGTGCCCAGCGAGCGTGAACACCGAACAAGCCAGGGCTGGTGTCCACGTGAAGACAAGGGCAGGGCAGGGTCTGGGGCTCTGGTGGGGGGAAAGCAAGAAGGGTAGAGCAGGCCAGACTGCCAGCTGCAGGCTGCGTTCCCTGAGGCCCGGCCACGTCTCGTCCCCCGCCCCGATGGCCCTGCGCACTGCAGGAAGGAGGCGGCAGCGTTAACCGCAGCGAGCCGCCAGGGACGGGCGGCGGCTGAGAACGACCAAAGCCAGCAAGAGCGCACGGCTGCGGCCTTTTTGAGCCGCCGGGCCCGAGCGAGGAGCATCAAAAGTATGGGCCCCAACGCCGGGTGGCTCTACCGCGAGGAAGATGGGGGCGCTTGAGGCAGCCTCCAGAGACAAAAAAAGTCCTCGCGGGGCCGGGGGTGACAGAGTCTCGGGAAGACATACAAGAAGAAGAGATATGGGGCTTGGGGGATTTGGGGGCGTCCCGGGCGCGCCCCCGGTTCTGGACTCCTCACCGCCTCCTACGCGTAGCCACTGCCGCTACCGCCGCCATCTTGTGCCGGGTTTGCTCCTTGACCCCCGAGCCCCCTGTTCCTCTGCGCCCGACGAGCCACGTACCTTAGTGCCCGCCCCTTCCGGCTTTCGGATTGGCCCGGCCACAGCCGCTGCCCCATTGGCGGACCTCGCACTCTAAGCGTTGGCAGGGGGGCGGGGCGGAGCGGGGCTTGAGGCGGAGGCGGGATTGTCCAGAGCCAGGCGCTGACCTATTTTGCTGGCTGTAAGCATCAGAGGCAGAGGCACTGGACTCTGTTTTTCTCAAATCGGCAAATTTTATTTAGAAAAAAAAAAAGGTAGGGGGGGAAAAAGTGACAGCGCTCTTTACGCTAAGGTTTAGAAGAGAAACCTCCATCTTTCTGCAGCACCTTAGCCCTATCTCACGCTCAAACATCCTCGGCTTCTGGAGCATGAAAAAGGCTATGTCCCCTGCCGAAGTAGAGTGGACGGTGACGCTGCCTGGAAACGGCCAGAGAAAAGGCCCAGGCGATCAATGTTGCGGTGGAGGACACTATGCAGCACAGCCAGATGTGGTCCACCCTCACCCCCACCCTCCCTGGAGAAGTCCCGGATGAAGCGGCCACGCTCCGACTGAAAGATGAACTTCTGCGGCAAGGGCCCATGCTCCCGGAGAAAGCCCCAGACACTGAGCAGCAGCAGACGCACTTCAAAAGGTGCCAGTTGGCTAAATACCTCATGCATATTACCCAGGGCTGGTGGCAAGAGGCTTCCCTCAGCCATGACAGCCACCAGGGTGCAGGATGCCTCCAGGTGCCAGGGGGAGTGGGCTGTATCAGGGTGGCGAGAGGCTTCCCAGTGGCCCAAGAGGGCGGCCAGCAGCCCCCGCAGCAGCACGGAGCAGTAGCACAGGGCTGGAGGAGCAGCTGCTACTAGCTTTAACAGCTCAAAGAGTAGGGGCTGTTCCCGAAAGCGCCGGCCAATGCGGAGATCCCGCTCCACGGTGGCCCGGGCATGCTCCTCAGGAGGCCAGGCTAGCTCAGCACCAGCAGCATCAGGACACACACTCTCCACCAAGGTCACTGCCACAGCTTTGGCAGCCTCCGGGCTCAGGGTGGGAGCCCCCCAGCAGCCCCCACATTCAGTGCCCCCAGGGGCACTGCAACAGTGCACCAGGAGGCTGAGGAGGCTCTGGGTGTTATAGATTACTTCCTGCTGATTTCGTGACTGGGCAAACTTTGGTGGCTTTAGGCCACGGCCGATGACTCCAGCATGGAAAACAGACCAAATCCCTCCAGGACCTGGCACAGCTGCTGTGTGCCGCCGGTTTGTGTCCAACAGGGAGGCAGAAGCCAAAGAAGCTGAGACAACTGAAAGAGTCTCATTGTCCCCATCCACTTCCCCTCCAAACAGTTCTGTGTTGCCCCGATGTAAGGCTCCTTCCACTAGCAGCTGCAAGACAGCCTTAAGCCCTGCAGGGGAGGTCTGAGAGAGGCGAGTAAGAAGCTGGGAGGCTGAAGCCACACCTGGTGGGCCATGCAGCCTCAGAGAGGCAAAGAAGCGATGCACTCCAGCTCTCACCAGTCCCAGGAGTTGGGAGGGGGACAGGGCTTCTGGAGGAAAGGGACAAATGGCCAGGAGGGAGGCAGCAGCTTCGGCTACTTCCTCCTCAGGATGTAGCAGGAGAGGAGCCAGGTCAGATAGATGGGCTGAGGCAGACTCCCCAAACCGGGCTCCTAGGGCTGCAGGGCCCTCACCACCCTGCTGTTCCCACCCTACTAGCAGTGCCAAGTTACGCAGGAACCGTGCCGTGAAGGGAGGCTGCAAAGTCCCCGCATGCACCCGAGCCAAGCAGCTTCGGAAGGCCAGTGGCAGGAGGCCAGAGAGACTGACCACCAGACCTGCATATAATTGGGTGGCCAAACTCAACTCTTCAGGGCTTCGGGCCCGGCTCAGGAGATGGCCCAAGGCCTCAGGTCCACAGCTAGGCCGAGTATAGACAGAGAGCAGGCCCAGGAGCTGGTGTTGCCAGAGGAAGCGCTTCCGTTCCAATCGTAATGTCTCTCCACATAGCTCTCCAACATGGTTTCTTAGCGCATCTAGAAAGGGCACGGGGCGGGGGGGTGGAGGTGGGCCCAGCACCCCTTCCCCAGGAGACCCTCCCCGGTGATGAACCAGTTTTTGCAGGTGTAGCAGCAGCAGCTGAATCAGCCGGTCACAGGCCTCACGCACGGTATCTGGCACAGCCAGGCCCTGGGTAGTAATGACTGAGGCAGGCATGGCTGTGTCCACCAGGAACTGCAACAGGCGGTAGGCACCTGCCCCAGAGGCCTGGCTTACCAGGTGCACAGCCAGGTTCAGCATGTTGTCCAGCTCCTCTCGGGGGAATCCCTGCAGGTGTTGCTGCAGCTGGCTCAGCACAGCTGGGGGCTTAAGGCAATCCACCAGCTCTCCAGAGACTGTGCCCAGCAAAGCTGGTGACATGACTGCCAGTTGCAGAAGGAAGGGAACTGTAGCCTGAAGGGAGGGGTCCCCACTCCGGCCCCCAGTGCCCCCTGCCAGGCTATCATGGAACATTCGCAGCAGTTCCCGTCGGATGCTGTCTCCATGACGGGATGCCAGGTGCCCTAGGATGCCAACAACTGAGGCAATCTTGGGTACCCGCTTCTCTCCAGGGATAGCAGGAGATCCAGGGAAGGGGTCTGTAGAGGGGATTTGAGAAGAGCTTCCACCAGTGCCACCAGCTCCACCTCCAGCCCCGCCATGAACACAGAAGTCCTTAAGGCCACAGGAGAGAACTCGGGAGATGATGGTGCCAGGAAAAGAGGAGCCAATATGGGCCACAACCCAGTCAAAGTGTGGGGAATGCTGGACAGAGGTATCCAGCAAGGCATCCACACAGGCATCTGGGCAACTACCAATGAGAGCCGAGAGGCACTGAACGTAGATGTCCATTAATGTGCGTGTGGCCCGACAGCCCATCCATAGCTGCAGCAATTCATTAAGAGAGCCAGTGGCATGGGGCACACGCTGGTGCTGGCCCGAATATGTGCTGCTTAGTTGCCCCATGAGGTCAATGGACCATGCACTAATCACAGGTGCCCAGGCCTTTGGGTTGGCCCGGATAAACTCGGACAGCACCTGTTGTACTTCCTGCACCACATCCTCTAGACCAGGTCCCCCAGCAGGGACATGGGAGGGTACAGATGACCGGAGATGAGGTGGGACAGCCATAGGGCTTTCATCTAGGGCAGCCAGGTGGGCCCGGACGCTCTCATCAAAGACGCCTCGCAAGTGGTCAAGCACAGCAGCCCGAGCAGGTGGCAAAGAGCGGAGCAGGAGAAGACTACAGCGAGCATGTTCCCGGGCTGAGAGTTGGTGGCCCAGAATGGGGTCGACACCAGTCAGAAAAGCCTTGATTTCCTGGGACAGCTCCTGAGCACTATAAGGAAACAAGAGAAACAGATTTAGTGTGTTGGAGATGTTGGGCAAGTTACATTCCCTACGTGAGCTTGCTTCTTTTTATGTAAAATAGGGTTAACTGTTCGCTCCTCATGAAATAATGTTCATAAAGCACTTAATCACCATATCTACTTCATACGAATCACTCAATAAAAACTAGCTATTTTTCTTTCAATAATAATATCAACATTAGATAACTCTTGGAATGTGTCAGGTACTTTTACATGTATTATTTCAATCCAGACAACAGCCCAATAAGGTAGGTACTATTATGATCCCATTTTCAGATAAGGAAACCAAGAGGGTCATAACCGTTTCTGTGCTCTTGCTCTTCAACACTGAATCTCCTTCTAAGGAGGTGCCTGGTATATGGGAAGTACTCAATAAATTCTGGTTGAATTGAGGATATTTTGTGTCTCTAAAACATCTGCTTTAAAAACACCTTCCCAACTTTACTGTACTCTCCACAACACAAGCACCCTGGATTTTACTCTTAATGGAAAGAAAATCATAAGGTCAAACTTGCCCCTTACTAAGGGCTCTCCTTCCCAAACCTGTTTCTTCCCATATTCTGCAAGCATCCTAACCACCTACTACTTGGATTCCACATCAACAACCACCACCTTCCCAGCACCCTCAATGTGCCTAGGAATCGGGGTGTTCCAGGGCCCAGACAAGGCAATGCCTTTCAACCCTTCCCCTCTAAAACATATGTGCTTAGTCTTAGAGGTTCAGTGTTATGAGAAGAGGCAAAATCCCCTTCCTCTTATTGCCCTTTCTGCCAAAGACAGCATTGCCAAAGAGAGCATTCTCTAGGGTTCTGACTGTGCCATTCCTCTCTGGATCCTCCAAAAAAATCCCACCCTAAACGGAGTGTCTCCGTTGGAAGGGAAAGGCTAAAAGGAAGCATTTTGTGGCTTTCTGGGCCTGGGCTCTCAGGGAGTCTCCATGAAGTCAGCGGAGCTCCATGAAGTCAGGGGAACCTGGGTTTCCTCCGATCTAAAAGGGGCAAGAAAGGTGGGTTCCCAAGAGTTCTGATATCCCCAACTCTTGGGAAAGCAAGGCCGGGGTACCTAGGCATTGGGGTTTAGAGGGAGGCAGTACCAAAACCTCGGGAGTGCGGGCACTGGAGCCCAGAGTTTGGGTGAGGCAGTCCCTGAGTTCTGGGAAAACCCAACCAGGAATCTCTGAGAACCCTGACGCGAGTTCTCGAGGTGGGATCCGGGTTTCTGCCGAGAAGGCTGGGGAATCGGCGCGGGGTCGCGCGGTGGGGGAAGATGCCAGGGGCTCTGACTACCTGAGTGGCGCGGGACCGTGGGTGGCCGGGGCAGGCCCGGGAGGCCCTGGGGCCCCGGGAGGGTCGCACAACGCGGACATCCCGGAGCCCGAGCCCGAGCCCGAGGCGGGAGCGGCGGAGCACAGGCAGCGCATGCGCGCTGACGCGAAACCTGAAAGGAACGGGCGACGAGGCCTCTCAAGAAAACCAATCCGGCGACGCCCGCGACCCTCTTACATTGGTTCCGCCCCGCGCCGAGCTCCCAGAGCAGGACGGCCTTGACCGTGGAAAGCAGAGCCGCCCTCAATGCAACCTTTATTTTTATTTCTCGGAAAGGCCATGGACACACAGACAAATGCTAACTGCTGCCATTCACCGTTGCTTTTATTTTTCCTAAAGCCCAAAATACAAAACGTTCCACTTCACGAGGTTTTAAAAAAATGGTGCCCTGGGAAACATGTTATTAAAAAACAGCGATAATGTAAAATGCAGTTAAAGGAGAGAAGGAAAGGCGGAAAGCGGAAAAGAGACGGAAAGAAAGAAAATTCATAAGAGAAGATGAAGAAAAGAGAGGAGGAAGAGGAAGCCGGAAATAAATTGGGCTGGCTAGGTTTACGGTGCCTTCCCAGGCCTAGCTTGGCCCAGCAATCCTCCCATCGGTCTCCATTGTTAGGCTTTGCTCTCTCCTCCACCTCCCAGCACAGGAACTTTCCTGTACCTCACATCCCCCTATGTGCAGAGAGGTAGCTTGGTGACTACGTGGGAAGCTAGCACACCTCAGCCAGAGCCCCCACTCCAGCCACTCTATCTAAAAATCCCAGCTATTCCACTTACTGGCTGGGTACTTTAACCTTTCCAGGACTGTTCTCTCCTGGAAATGATGGTAATAGTACAACTACCTCACAGAGTTGTGAAAATTGAAACCAGGTAATATGATAAGAAAGCACTTAAGCATTAACTATTTTTAATATATTTGTTGAATGAACTCCAGAAAATAAGCTCTTTGAAAACGGCCTTTGCCTATATTGTTAAAAGCTATTATCTTCATCGCCTACAACAGTGTCTGCCTGGCACTCAGGTTCTTCATACTTGGTTAAATAAATGAAAAAGAAAGTAGGTTCTGAGGCCTGTGTTAACTAGAAGGCTTACTGCTCTTAATGGAAGTGTAAGTTAGAACAACACCAGATGGTAAGCACAGAATATGCTTTTCCCCGGTTGAACACACACCTCTGCACAGGCAGCTCTTCACATTAAGCCCTGGCTTCCAACAAACTTTCTAAGCTTTAAAAGGGAAATATAATGCCCCGGCCTCGGTGACTCAGTTGGTTTGAGCATCATTCCATGCATCAAAAGATGTTGGGTTTTATTCCTTCCCCTACCCCTTCCTCTCTAAAATAAATAAATAAAAACAATGTTTGGTCTTCATTTTATTAAAAGTATAATCCAGCAAAGGAAGCAGAGACAAAGATGACATAGAGTGACTTGCCCACCCTGGTCACACAGAAGCAGAGGAAGGCTAGTATCAGGATCCTTACCTCCTCTGCCATCTCTACAGTAATCTGTATTTTGGTCAGAAATGGAAAGTTGGAGTGTCACTCACTAGAGAGAAGGGACTGTCACAGAGGCTGGTTTCTTGATGCCTTTGCTCCGGTACACTCTGTGGGTCCTGTTTCCCAGCTGCCTTTTTTCCACACTCACAGACCCCTTTTCATGACTCATCCCCATCCCTACATTTAATCACACACGTCAGTGAGAACCCTAGGGCTTTATTACAAATGGAGTTGACTGCTAAGGAGCCACCTTTCCAATCTTTCTTTTCCTCTCAACACATCCCTCCACAGCAGGTCACTAGGCCATCACAGAAGAGTCTGGGGAGACTAAAAGGTGCAATGTTTTCTCCAAAGTCTTCTAAAACAACCACTGAGTCCACCTAGCTCCAGGTGAGAATCTTCTGGTGAAAGGGGTAAGATTTAGTTCCCATCTTCAAGGTCTTCCATATCTACATCCTGGGGGGCTTTTGTCTTCTTTTTTGATTTAGGTTCACTAGTCCTCACTGGCTTTGAAGGGGCTTCCACTGAACAAAGAGAAAGAAGCAGCATTAAAAAACCCAAGTGGATCCAGGCTGCCCCCTCACCCCGCCTCTGCGCCCCAGCGTTACCTTCCATGGCTGCTTTTTCTTTCTGGGCAAGCCGGATCTGCTGGAGAAGTTTTCTGCGCTTCTTCCCAGACAGAGTGATGTTGGCACGTGCACTGGACCTGAGGGGTTGGCAGGAAAAAAGACCTATGTTAACCTGAACCAGCACTCAAGTGATTCTAGCTATTGAAAAGGTCTTTGGCCCTGGCTGGTATGCTCAGTGGTGAGAGCACTGCCCCATGCACCAAAGGGTAGCAGGTTTGATCCCTGGCTGGTTGGGGCACCTGCGGGAGGCAACCAATCAATGTCTCTCTCTCACATCAATGTTTCTCATGTTTCTATCTCTCCCTTGCTCCCTTCCACTCTCTCTAAAAAAATCAACAGAGAAAATATCCTCTGGATCCACATCAAAGAACTGTTTGAAAATCCGGGCTCTAAGGTAGTGAGTTTAATCTCAACACATAAAGTACTTAACATTAAATGTTAAATTTTAGTATACTTGTAAGGGAAGAATTTCCCCTCCTATATTCTAGATACTTCTGAAACCAGATTTGGGGGATGGGGAGGTTAGTTCCCACATCAAACAATTCTCCAGTTCTCAGCAGACATTAATAGAGTGTTCTACAAAAAATTTTTCTTTAAAGCTAATATTTTGTAGCCCTGGTTGGGTGGCTCAGTTGATTGGAGCATCATCCTATACACTAAAAGGTTGTAGGTTCAATTCCTGGTCGGGACATGTACGAGAAGCAACTGATTGATATTTCTCTCTATATATATAAAAAATAAAAATAAAGCTGTTATGTATATTTTTCAAATCCTCATCAGCCACCTATTGGCATATGGGACGATGCTCCAACCAAGCCACCCTGGCCAGGGTGAGTGTCCTACAAATTTAATTCAATGCTGACATTATCTACCTGGAGATAGCATATTGTCACCCATACTTCTGATCCACCTGCTATAAAACAGAGTTCTCAGAATCCCTTTTTCAGACTCCATAATTTGCTAGAATAGCTCACAGAACTCAGGGAAACATTATTTGCACTTACTGGTTTATTATAAAAGGATACAACTCAGAACAGCCAGATGGAAGAGATGTATAAGGCAAGGTACAGGGAAGGGGCCAGAAGCTGCCATGTCCTCTCCAGGTGAGCTACCTTCCCAGCATCTCCACCAATTCACCAACCAGGAAGTTCATCAAATCTGTTGCTCAAGAGTTTTTACAGAGCTGCTTCATCAGCACCCATACCCTACTTCCCAGAGGCGGTGGTGATAGTGGTGGGGTGAGGCTTAATTTTCCAATCACTGGGTTTTTCTGGTCATCAGCCCCACCTTGCCACTCATTAGCATAAAGTTAGGTGTGTTCAAAGGGGCTCCTAATGAAATAAAAGATTCTCATCACTCCAAAGGTTTTAAGGGCTCTATGCCAGGAACCGGAAACGAAGACCAAGTAAATTTTTTATTATGAACTCTGGAAATATAGATGACGAAGAAGTCAATGAAAGAATGGGATGGGAACTCTTCCCCAAGGTTCAGCGGGCCCTGAAACTTACATGCAAAACCCCACATGCGCCTCTGTGAAAATTCATCCAGTTGTAGGCACGCTTCTGTATGCGCTTTAAAATTTACTTATAAAAAACCTACGTGAATGTACAATTTTTCTGGGGGAGATGGGAGAGTCGACAGCTGTCCCTAAGATTCTCAATGAGACCCAAAGAAAGGCTGTAAGCTACCGGTATAGTGCGAGGCTAGTAGATTTAAGGCACAAACACGGCAGCACGTCCCGAGCACAAATGCGAGTGCGCAAGGAAGACCGGAGGCGCCAGCTGCTCACGAGCTCGGCGGAAGAGGGGAAGGGGCCTCGGTGTGGAGGACCCAGGGGAGGGTCTGGCACTCACGCCCGCTTCTTGAGGTGGTGCCGTGTGATCAGCCCTTCGTCTATCACGGCCCCGACCACCCGGTGCTTCAGTCGCCGCTCCCGGTTCAACAACCGCCGTCGCTTGAACAGTTTCTTCTTCAGCTCCTGCAGCGGAGGAAAATGCTAATCAGACGGAGGCCGCGCACGGCGACCCGGATCCCCGCACCCGGCGACTCTGGCCTATCGATCCCATTTCGGGCAAGATGAGAGCGCGCCGGGACGCTTCGGAAACGAGGTCGGCGCTCCCGCATAGTCACCGTTCGGGGCCGGTTGATCTTTCCCCCCGGAGCGCCCATGGCTGAGCAGTTTTGCCGGCTTCGGGTCCGCGTTTCCGCTCTACGCAGCGTCCGCATGGGCCCCGCCCCTCAGTCCTCCGCAAGCCAATCGCAGCTCGGGGGCGGGCCTTGGTGCTATATAAAGGAGCTTAGCCAGCCGGTAAGCCTTTCCGAGGGCGGCCACGGGGTAAGTTCGGCCTGAGTTTGGGGCTAAGCGGGCGTGCGGTGGTTCTGGGCAGGGCTTGCTGACCCTCCTCTTCTTGGCGGGGGTCGGGCGTGCGGTCCCGGTCCCCGTAATGTACGGAGGCAGAGGGAAAGGGCTCCGGCCCCCTCGGCGTCATGTCTTCGGTGCCGACGGTCTCCAGTCCGCCGGTTCTATCCTCAAGCGCCGGGACACAGGCCTCAAGAAGCCGGGCAGAACCGAAGTTCAGCGGGCCCCTCCCTGGGGTTCTCATGCCTCCTTTTGTTTCAGGTGTGTGAAGCCGCCCTAGAAGCCGGAGCTGTCGAATTCCCTACTTTTCCACTTGCCGTAGCAACCAATAAAGGCCGTTCTTACCGTTGTAGGTGTGTGTGTCCGCGTGCTTTTTTCCGAGGCTGTAGAGTTAGGCTGTACCCATTTATTCTGCAAAGTGGATTTTGCAAATCTTCTCTTGAATCTCAGGCTTCTGCCTGGATTGTGGGCGACATTTCGCAGAAGGTTGTCTGGCCGACCTTACTGGCATCTCCCGATGGCCGCGCTGCGCCGAACCTTCCACCTGGCGACCCTGGCTGCGGGGACGTGCCGCGCCTTGGCCGGTAGGAAAGATGGGCAGTGGGAGGGCAAGGTGGTTTCTTCGTGACCCATCAGTGTGGCTATTAAAAACTCATGTTACACTGCGTCGTTTTTGTAGTGGTTTGACAGAACTCAGGAGCCGGGTGACACATGTCTTCCACTTGTGTCCACAGGCTCCCTGGCCGGTAGCTGCCTTGCGGACCGCTGCCTCTGGGATAAGCTCCACGCCCAGCCCCGGCTAGACAGAGTCCCCACCTTCGACTGGTTTTTTGGGTATGAGGAAGCCCAGGGGCTCCTACTGCCACTGCTGCAGGGGGCCCAGGCTGCCTGTCCACTGCGGGTATTAGACGTGGGCTGTGGGACTTCGAGCCTGTGTACGGGCCTCTACACCAAGTGCCCACACCCTGTGGACGTGCTGGGGGTGGACTTCTCTCCTGTGGCTGTGGCCCACATGAACAAAGTCCTGGAAGGTCACCCAGGCCAAACACCCCTGTGCCCTGGGAACCCTGCCTCCCGCCTCCACTTCATGCAGGCTGATGCCCAAAACCTGGAGCCAGTGGCTTCCTCTGGTTCCTTCCAGCTAGTGCTGGACAAGGGTACCTGGGATGCTGTTGCCCGGGGTGGTCTGTCTGGGGCTTACCAGCTGCTGTCAGAATGTCTGAGGGTCCTAAGCCCCCAGGGGACCCTGATTCAGTTTTCAGATGAGGACCCTGATGTGCGGCTTCCCTCCCTGGAGCAAGGATCCCAAGGCTGGACTGTGACTGTGCAAGAGATAGGCCCTTTCAGGGGCATCACGTACTTTGCTTACTTGGTTCAAGGCTCTCATTAAAGACAGTCTTAACCCTAGAGTTTTTGTTGGGTGAGGAGAGGTGGAGAGCTTTGCTCTTGCAAGATGGCTGGAAAATGAAGATTTCCGTCCTGGTTTCCGTGTTTGCTAGCTAGGTGCACATAGTATTGACTGTGCCCATTTACTCACTAGCAAGGTAGGAATAATTCCTGGAGTTATGGGGATTACATACAATGATAGCTGAAACATTTAGCAGGCCCAGGCCCACAGAGAAGATACAAGTGGATCATCCCCCACCCCCGACTAACCAGAACTTCTAAAAGCAGCAGATAAGAATTCTTAATCCAAATCCCAGCATCGACTGATTTGTGTGACCTAGTGGCCTAACCTCTAAGCTCATTTTTCAGACCTGTTGTAAAAGGGGAAGATTGAGAAAGGATGGGTAGAAGGGCTCCATAAACAGACCTGGGTGAAATGTTAAGGAGAGAGAACAATATTTACCCTGAAACCTCCTAGGAGATGGGGGTATTCCACAAAGTGGCTTCTGCACACAGGGAAGCTTATTGGATCCCAGGGAGGACAGGGATTGGATGCTTCCTGACACTGTGCTTGGGAATCCAGGACCCATCTTGCTCTACCTGTTCCTGCCCCCAGCTGAGTTCTGGGTTAAAGGTTCTTAAGGGAGATCTGGGGTCCAGTGAGCTCTATGTCCAGCCTGGGTAGGGGGAGGGGAGTTAAAGAGCCCATTAATAACAATATCCCTGATACACTGAATTTTTCTAAAATAAAATGAACTTGTGATCTTGTTTCGCTTCAGATCAAATGTTTTGTCTTTTACTTAGGAAAAAAAAAGCCATGTATTTGTAATTTTTGCTTATAAAAAAGTAATACAGCAATTAAAATGAAGAACCTAATTTCACAGCCTCAGTTTCCACATAAGGGAAAGTATCTCCCTCATTGGGTTCTGGTACTGGTGAGGTAAAAGTGCGTATTTATTAATCCTCACCTGAGGGTATTTTTCCATTGCTTTTGACAGAGTGGAAGGGAGAGAGAGAAACATCCATTGGTTGCCTACTGCATGAGCCCCAACCAGGGCCAGGGATGCAGCCTGCAACTGAGGTATATGCCCTTGACCAGAATCGAACCCGGGACCCTTCTGTCCATGGGCAAACACTAACCAGTGAGCCAAACTGGCTATGGTAAGGTAAAGTGTTTAGCACAGTGCCTGGCACATAGTAAATGCTCCAAAAAAAAAAAAAAAAAA